ACTTTTTTTCGCACGTAATAAGCTCGGTGGTGGGGGTTAAGACATGCTATGACGTGAAAATATTAGGCGTCGTGCGTAAACGTCGTTTCGAGTCACGCACTCATTACATATTTTCTTTGATTTGACATAGTATTTAACATGTAGTCCATTCGTTGTTATCTACTAGTCATGTTTTATTTTATGTCAGCATATTTGAAGTGGTATTTTTAAATCGTTATTTAAAAGTCCAGTTTCGTGGTATTTGCAAATCATCGGTTGGCCGAGCAACAGCACTATTAGAGGTGACATATTGGCATTATATTTGGGTTGAGTACAAACTAAACAACAAATACATAAAATAGAAACACCAATTAAATGGTCTTTTTAGAAAAAGAATTGTTAAATGTGTCACTGATTTAAAAATTTCATGTGACAAATTGGAAATTCTACTAATCTGTTATTTATTCATTGCAGCAATGTATTGTGTTGGAAAATCAGTGCTTTTCACCTGTTTACACATGACTGAATTAATCAATATTCCTGCTATTTTGTTGTGTTTTGCAAAATGTGTATCTTGGTATCTTTGCAAGAATGTATCTTCTAAAGTTAGATTGAAGTTACATAGGTTGAAAATATTGGTTATTACAGTAACAACGACATCAGCTCACTAACCAATAAAATGTAATAAAACGTAATAAATAGTTTGTTAACTCCTTCTGGTGTTTATTTATTGTTACTTATAGATGATTTCACTAACGACCAGAAATTTATAGCACTGTACATCTGACTTGGGTAAATTACAAGCTTGTTTTTGGCACACATATCGGTATTAATATAACATATACTGGTTTATTTTGTCTCCGTGTGTCCATATAAGTATACATTTATCCAGGTGTATTATTTGATGTACTCGCCGTTTGTTGATTTTCTTTATTTTAACATTTAGTTATTTGGCATTAATTTCCAAGTAGTATAAATTCATACATTATTTGATATAAACGTGTTGTTTATATTACATTACAGATATGGAACTACAAAACCTAGCTGAATCTGATTCCAATGATGTAAGTACTTTAGTTTCTATAACATTATTATCAGATAGGTGATAATGTACACTGTAATGGGTACATACAGATTAATGATACGTATTGGTCAAAACAGACACACAGAAAATACTCCTAAGAAAATTCAGAAGAAGAAAACTAACAAATTATACAATCGTTGAAAATGCCAGCAATTTGGCTGTGTATGTGATAATTATATAAGTAAACATATAATTATTCCTTTATAATATACCTAGTTTATCAGAGAAATATAGTTGTGGTGTCTTCGAAGAATAGTGATACGCTTCTTAAGTTACGACTATTTTTCCTTGGTGAAAAATATAGGGGAACAATATGTAATTATTTTATTAAATTTGTTTGTACATGTTATCATACTGCTTTTAGTCGCAGCCGTATTCAGATTTAGACAACGAAGATGTAGAAATTTTCAAAGAACTGTACAATAGCGTGTTTGACTCAGACATAATCAATGTAAGTATCTTTGCTCACACAATATTCATTTATTCAGTTACAAATCCCTCCCGAACCATATTTGATTGTCCTTTGATAATCACAGACTAATAATCAAAAAATTTTCTGTCGCCTGCCAATCTGATCTAGAATTTTTTGAGATTCGGTATACAACAATTCGTTGCACGAGAAATCACTCTTTTTAATGTCTTCATTCGATTAAAAACATGAATGCTCACCCACAATGATGAAAAAAAGGTCAGATCAATCGAACTTCCCACTACAATCCCCGAAAACAAGTGAAGACATGAGATGAGTGGCCGATGAATATTACTTACTTGGTAATTTTGGTCATTTCTGAATCGAAAAAGACACACACTGATTTGCATTTTGCTTCTTTGGTTATTCAAATGGTCACGAAATCGACTGTGATCAATGTTTTTGTGGCCAGGGAAGGGTAGTTCACAAGCAAGCATCTAAATTCTTCTAATTTATTTCATACTTTAAAACATTCAAATCTTCAAACGTAGTCATCATAGCAACGCAGGTGTTAATTGCGACCACTGGTTAAGTGTGTTCCGTTTTTAATGGAATTATGGATACGTTCCATTTTGATTAACATGTACAAAAACAACTTTACTACATATTTTAAATACCATTTTGTTGGTTGTATCCGCTGCCGTGTTGACACATCCAATGTTTTCATATCGAGGGTCAAGTGTAATAATGTACATGCGGGTGATATTATTACAGTGATGTTAGGGTAAATGTCATTAGTTATTAGTCATTCATTAGTTTTAAGTTTATTAAACACTTTTCATGATATTCTTAGACAAATAGTGACTCAGATGCCATAATTAAACAGGATGAAAACACTAATGATAATGTGCAGTCCGAAAAAGGATTTATCCAAAAGGTGTGTACAGATTATTTAATTATACAAACAAACCCGATATTTGAAGTAAACATAAAATGTTGTTCCCATCCCATTTGTGCCCCAAAAAAGCAACGTTCGATTTACGTTCTTATCCATAGAAGATTAGTTTCAATACAACAGCTGGCCAATGAATATGTGTATGACCAAATATAGACACATGTTCATGTTTTACAATATAAGTACGCACAAACAAAATAAATGCACTTATCGTTCACAAAACAAAGTTTAGGAACTACTACCACTGTAAATAGTATTGTTATTTTAGAGCCAGTGGTGGTATGACGTAACCTCTCAACAGAATTGTCAATTCTAAAACCCTTATAGGGTGTACAATCTATATCACAAGATATTATTGAATGGTTTGGTCTAACATTTTTTCTTCAGTTTAGAGTCATATGGGCAGAATTATATAAATCGCGCTAAATAAAGACCAGCCAAAACAGCAAATGCTTACTTTTGCTTCAAATGCACAACATGTGGTTTCAAAAATGCAGTGCCTCGTCGGGCAAGGAACTGATGCCTGCAAACCGAACAAACATAATTTGAATTCCTGGTGAATAAAATGTTCTGATAGTAGTCACATCACTTTTGTACTCTAAACAACGGTACAGAAAAACACAAATAGCTTGAATGGTCATCAGTTTTATTGTATTTTTCATAATCACTTCTATATGTTTACGAATGTTCTTATCATTTTGACAGCTGTCAAATATTTCAAATGCCCCGTTATATATATAGTATTTATTTTGTTTATTACAATAAATCCAAACGAATTTCAGGCTCAATAAGGTGTAAGTATCTCAAGCAATACTTTGTGATGGCATAATCTTCTATTATATTTTTGTCGCCATCATATTTTAGGAAATCTCCTGCTGCCATTGACTACAGGAGATTTGCCAATTTTCAATTTGACCAAACAATATTGTTGAAATATAGTGTGCATCGGTGTATATGTCGTGTATTTTTTCCCGTCAGTGAATACAGATCGTTAGGTCTCCAAAATTAGTCTTTCAAATAGTTTCTCTGTGTAATGGTGCTTTTTGTGGCGGTATAGTGTAACTACATATTCCTTCAAACCCTTCACAATGTCAATCAAAGATAATTGTGCTTCTCCGTGCCGACGTTGGGACATTTGGTGCTATAAAGTTCCCAGGCTGTCATATTTCCCATGCTATAGATAAAACGTGAGTCAGTTGTGTATGTGAATTTATTTAGTTTCATTACAATATTTATTTTGTATTTTTAAATGATTGACATATATTAACATATTTAATGCTCACATTATATATACATATTGCTGAAGAGTTTTATTGATGTATGAACATTTTTTGTTCACAGTTTCATAAATACTTGATCACAGATAATAAAGAGGACGCTAAAAAGCTGTTATCAAACCGGTTTGATTTAAACAAGTTCAAGGAGCTGCGCAAAAAAACAATATTCCATAAAGTAAGTGAATACTATAAAGTACAACACAGTTATATGAAGTATTTACATTGCGAGACATCGCATATAAACTGGATGATGTAAACCCTTTATATAACAGAGCAGAAGAGTGGAAAATTGATGCATAGATGTCTAAAATTGATAATAAATTTACAAATGTTATTTTATTATGAAGTCCGGAGATAAACTCCCACAACGCAGTAGTACAACAATCTAGTCGTGTATTCAGCTGGAAAGTAGAGTTTATTTGATTGGGCAAGAGACAATATTACCTCGTGTGTTACATAATAAAGTATGTAAATACATGCCCATTATACAAGACATCACGTCGCCAAAACTGACTCGTAATTTCATAGCACGTAGAATTTTGTATCTATAATTCAACTGTCTGAAAGCTAGCTAACATAAGCTTACCCCATGATATCAAATTAATAATTTTGTAGGATTTCCAAATTTTGACAGGTAAAAATTGCCTGCGATAGCTAAGATATTAATGGGAGAAAACTGTCTCACTGCTGAAACAAAATAACAAATATATCTGAAATGTGTCTTAGTGTTATGCACAGTTTCATTAAAATTCCAACACTATTTTTGTATGAGTAGATGTAACATTTGAAAGTTTTCAATGTTTCACCCAGTGTAGGTATAGGTTTACAAAATATGTGTTTGATCAAAGAAATTAATGTTTATTTATAAATTAATGTTCACTCTGTAACTGGTCTTTTCTGTTTTTTTGTTGCATTGTATCAATCACGGCAATGCCCTATATCATAGTTATATTCAGTTATTTTATCGGATGACGTTAACTGTTTAAAGCAGCTGTTAATAAAAGCATTCGGTATACAAATAATAGAGAAAGACAATGATTCAGATGACGTAAGTACATATACTTTCAAGAATCAAGAAAACAGAATTTCGATATTTACACAAAAGATATAATTCTAAAATCGTATTTTCAAATGACGTATGGTTGTGTACCATTGACATCAATAGAAAATAATATTGCGCATTTTTCAGTTAATGTATATACTGTGAGTAAATGATTTCACTTCGTAATATATTGAAATATATGTGTTATTTGGTATCACCCAAAATTATCAGAGTTATTTCGGTGCAATTTAAAAAGCTATGCTGATGTGTTGTGTTGGATTACTACTTTTGTTGTAGATATTGTTACTTTTGAAGACGTTTCTGCTAACGAATGATGAGAAAAATATCAAACTGCGCTTAAAAGACCAATTTGATTTAAATGAGTTCAAAAAGTCATGCTTGTATTACAAAGTAAGTAAATCTACTTCGGCATCATACAATACATCATATGATATTTCTTGCACGGACACTCAACAAGATCATATAAACTATATTCTTGATCCGCGGAGCAAATAGTTTCAGAAAGTAGCAATGTTAAATTCCTGCTTCTTACATGTGTAAATAAGTTCAACCAAAGTTGATGATTGTTCAATTCACACCAACCTATTAAGCCATCTGACAACAAGCAAACGTGAGGTAGTAGCACGTCAATTCTTTAAATCTATGTTTGCCCCATTTTCTAATGTCTCTGAATTACAGCTATATTAAATTCTTGACACATCTTACCAGTTCTCCGAATATTATGAGAGATATCCCATGCATTGAACAACTAATGTCAAGAATACTACATGTAATAGCATATACTAGTTAGAAATGCATGACAATTACAACAGTAGCAAAATTAAATATAAAGAATATATACCGATCCATTTTGTACTATTGTGCTGACTATTTTTGATACACTTCCTTAAATTACAGATGCATTCGGCTTTGGTCTCAAATCAAGTAGCAATTGTTAAACAGCTAATGAACGATGAGAAGTTAGACTTAAACAAGTTTTTATCAGAGCGACAATTAGTAGCATTATATGTGAAAGTAAGTACACAAGATGCAATATGTCTGTATGTATTGCTTATATTTCATTATATTAGTAATTGCAAGCAATGTGAATGAACTGGTCACTTTCAAACTAGTGATTTATTCTCATTTAATATTGATGGTAACACATTTCCGCCGCTCAATCAAGTGAATGCAATTGACGAGACTACTGAAATATAACTGTTGTTGATAGCAGTGAGATCGTTTTATTGATGAGTTGTCGTCATCAACTAATATTTTTAGAAGCTCGGTTATAACTGTCTTGAGCATTATTGTTGATATCAGAACCCATCCAAACTATTACTCATTGGGACTTTGTGTCTTAGTTTAATTACTCAAAGCTGTATTGTTTAAATTTACTTTCAATTTTAAATATTATATATATATATAAACCTATTGGTATGCATTAAGTGATGTCAGGTTTTTCAAAAAGAAATGAACACGTTCTGCTTAACACGAGGCACACACCAGAGGAACATGACCAGCCCATTATACACACCACATAACTTTGTGGTCATGAGTGTTATAGAACTGGATATATGGTTGGAAGATAGTACATTAAAAGTACATCATAAATATACCTAGATGTGAACCTTTTTGTTTTTATTAATATTTGCGAGTTACACTAATAAGAACCTGGAATCGTTTTACATTTGCAATTCACATGCAAACTTGTCAACGTTTTTACTTACCAACACACTAATCGTTTATTATAATGTTTTACTGTCAAAATTGCAACCGGGTTTTCGGGCTTGTTTACCATAATATTATTAATTCACGATTCGCGTTTCATTTAACGTAAGTTAAATCAGTTAAAAACGACTTTTTTTTCTTTAGATGCCGTCATCATCCCTTTACCGGTTTGACACTAATAATATATTCCATGCCATGTACAAGGTGAGAATTGCAGCAGCGTTGAAATGTTTTAGTGACTTGTTCCGTAAAGATAATGATGTTGTGTGTGTTGGTATGGGTGTGTATGTTGTAGTGTATGTTGTATGTTGTAGTACTCTTCCAGTCCAGATATGCATATTTGTTATTTACTACCATGTATCATTACTATATAACTGCACGTGTGCATGACAACCAATCATATAGTCATGTGTACTAATATATATTCAGTAACCTGTAATTGTATTTCATTTGTATTTAGAAGCTATTAACATATTTTATTGGTTTGTCAGGCCCTGGTTTTCAATACTAATGATATTAATAGACGAGTAAAACTAAAATACGTTCGTCTTATTATAAAAAGCATGATGCTGGGTGGTAACAAGGTTCTGTATCAGAACAAGAAATATGACAACAACACTATAGAAACGCACTTATTTACCTGGGCTGTGTTGATGAATAGACAAGAAATGGCCACTTTGTTTTGGGAACGAATAAAGAACGGGAACATAGGTGAGGAGACATGTTTATCTATGCAATATTCGAAACAATGTCGGAAAACAAGATATTTAATCTTGGAATGAGTACAATTCTGTCAAAATATTGTTATAGAAATATTTTAAATAAATTGAATGACACATTGCAAAACATTGAGCGTCATTATTTATTTTGCGTTTCAATGTATTTTAAATTCTGCTTTACAACGGAGCGTAAATTTATCGCGAGAACAACTATGAATAACCATCGATTGCTTTAATTACTATTACCGTACATATGTAATTTGAATATCAGGCAGTGATGACGAGTGTAATTTACTATGCATAAGCCTTATTTAAACGTCAATCAGAATGTTTTAGACTCATTTTAACCGCCTAATAATGTAATTCAACATATTCATCCTATTTTCTAGCAACAGCATTATTTGGTGGCAATCCTGAAAGGACTGGCACAATATGCTGGGGACAAATATATGCTGGATTTGGAAGAGAATTTATCTCATAATGCCGGGTAAGAGTAGGGTAATAATTATATTCATATGTTTACTCTAAAAGAGAGTAAACAAGTAGAAGAATTATCTTTCTGTTCTAATCAGATCATTGTATAAAGAGAAACGATGAAAAGTTTTCATTTGTTTTCAAGCATCTCATCATCTTCAATATTGCACAATATGCTCCTAATTGAGATACGTCATGCGTGCCAATCTCATTTTACTTAGACGTGATGTAAAAAAAACGCTTTACCGTGACAAAAGTTCTACAACTCGAAAGAATATTGCTTTGTACAATGACATATTTTTTTTGAAACAGGCAGTGCCTACTCGTTTACGTGGGTTAAATGCATAATATCCAACTAAAATTGACCTGCAATTGTTTGTCTGTCAAAACAAAAACAAAAATCCCAACTTGTTTTCCGGTCGATTATAGCTAAAAAAAATCACCAACACTATATACATGTGCAATGAAAATAAACTTATTATTTTACTCTGTAAAAATACATTTTGTTCGTCGATATTTGGCACTGATGTTTGTTTTTCTTGATCAGCGGACGATGAGAAACGTATTCAATGATAACACAAGATAATCCAACAAATGGGATTTCACTTATTACCTGAGAGCTTTACTGATATTTAATTTAGTTAAATGCAGTGCAAAATAAGTCATGCTGGTGGGCACAATTTATTCATTACAGACTGCTTGAAGATATGGCACGCAGTGTTTTAGATATTTATTATATACATGACCCAGAGGGAGCAGAATTGTCCATCGCTCGTAAACTACCAGACTGGAATAATGCAACTTGTTTATCTATTGCAAATGCTGGATGGCACATGAAATTCATGGAGCACGAAAGTTGTCAAATTAGACTACAGAAAGCGTGGACTGGACACCTCCACATTGAAACAACATGGCAGTGGATTCAAGTAAGTTTATTGTTCGTAAACATTGGTCTTTTATGCAAGCGGTGTTTAAAAGTTAACTAAAAATAATATATTTGTGTTATTTACTATCCTTTTAATGCGAAATATAAATTTAGCGTTTGAGCCACGTAAGTGGTTAAAACATTTAAAAAAGTCAGATATGCAAATGAATATTCCATACACATAAAGCGTGCATAAGTTGTGGCCTGGAAAAATATAACACATATGTCATCCAAGTTTCAAATGATCAATGCATATATCACTATGAACAGTTGATCATTCTTTAATAACCTACTTATGATTTACTTCACGAGTTCCAACACATTTAAAGCCGGTCAATGTTGTTGTGTGTATGATATAATTAAACTAACGTTTTACAACATATTTTTCATTAAAAAATGTAATCCACAGTGTTGATATCAAAGACGTGATTAATGAACGTAATGATAAGATAGATCCTTTATGTTTCAATATGGGTTTGATATTTCTAGCATTGGAACAAAGATGTGGTATTTATATAATTGATTGGTGTGTTTAGTCTAGTTACAGTTTGTTTTGATATTTTTTAGAATAGGTTAGACTCATTAGTTTTCCATGATCACAATGCTGATGATCCCCCACAACTTGAGTCAAAAATAAATATTGCGTTTTCTTTCAAAAGAATTGTTCGTTATTATTTTATTTCATTGTAGTTTTGTATTGCATTATTGATGCCTTTTATGTGTGCTGGAATGACGTTTTCAATGGAGATGGAACAAGGGGAGACATGTATTCGTAGTATAGGAAAATTATGGTTAATATGTGTTTCACCATTTAAAATGATTGGGTTTTTTATGTCGCCAGTAACAAAGTTTGGATACAATTGTGTAAGTACCAATAACTTATTTCTACTTCTAGTCATCCTCTTTCTCTTACTTCTCTCTTACGCAAACTAATAACCAATTTAGCAACTAAATTTAATTTCAGATATCCTACATTATTCTTCTGGGATTATTTACTTGGTTTGTTTTGACTGACTTAAGACCAGCAACTGATCCTAATTCTCCCAGTACCAAAGAGTGTGTCGTTATTTTCTGGGTTGGAACATTAATTGTTGAAGAACTCAGACAAGTGAGTACAAGTTTCAGTATCAGTAGAAGTTTCATTTTGTCACTTTTTTTTATTTTTCTTAACCCTAATCCCATTCAGTGAACTTAAAAATAATGGTACTCTATCATGTGATCATAGTTCTAATTATTAGTTAATAATTATATGTGACTCGTATTCATTAGTATTAAAATACATACAATGTTTATTATATTATTTTATAGAGAAAATTGTTGGAGAGTCAAATACACTTTTTTTACGAGGCAATAATGTGATATGTAAATGTTTATTGATAAGACATATGTGGAGAAATGCATCTTTGTGCGATTAGTACTAACAAAATCAAGAAAAAAAAACTGGGTCTCGTATGTAAACATTATAGTATATATGTCATTGACCTAACCAGACAATCACCGAAGTTGTGAAAAAAAGCAATCAAACCGATAGAGAAAACAAAGATGGATGAAATATAATGCGTGTAGTCTATATATGTAGATTCGAAGATTGGGTGCGATTTGGATTGCAGTTTTGTAAATTTAGTTCGAGTGGTGAGCATGCTAATTTGAAATCAATGATTTATTATTTTTTCTGCTGTTTCTTTGTTGTTGACATTCTTAAAAATGTGATGTGCCCGGAGAGGCTGCGTTCTAAACAACCTTTCGATGTATTTCTAAAATTTCTAAATGATATTGTTTATATTATTAAAAACTTAGAGGTGCTATATATCGTATAACATTTATGAAACATGTATATTCCGGTGTTTTAGGTTGATACATTACATGTGCGTCTGCTTTCTGATGTGCTTCTAAATAAAACAGCTGGGAAGAAAAGTGTTACTATGTTCGTTACTATCATGAATACAAGTGTGTCTTATAAATCAGCACTTTCTGAAACATTTATGATCTGGCATTTTGGGTTAAAAATCATTAGTGTTGTGCTTCATGCAGTGGTTCACCACCGTCCACCCTCACCATTCACCAAATTAGGCAACAAAGAACTTCTCCGTGTGTCTTGATTTCCGGCTGTACCTAGGTTAATGAGGCCATATAAAGCTACTTTTATTTACGCAACCAGGCAACCTGGTGCATTTGATGTTTCTCTTAATAATGTAATGTTATGGCATATATACCACAATGTTGATTTGCTAGCTCCTAGTTCGAGTCTCAGATCAGTTTTATTTTTCCACTCATGTTGATGGTATTGTTTACATTCCATTGATTGTACATCTACCTTAGGAACCTTTCATATCCCTTTATTTTGTTTATTACTGCATTTACCGCATTCAATTCCGGTGTATACACTTTAAGTACTTAATTATTGAATGCTGCATAGGATCTGTAAAACAATATAGAATTAACAAAGGCTTCAACTCATTACCTTTGCCACAGTGAACGTATACATAGTGGAATCTTAGTGATCCAATTTGTATCTTATGTTTAGCTTATTCTTTTAACTATTTCGTATGGTACGGATAAGGGCTTTACGCAAAACGCCTAGCTAAAGATTTACATAGGATATCACTTACTAAATTTTACCTATTTTTTTATAAAATAAATAATATTAACTACATACAGTGCGGACTACACCAGTAACTTCTTAGAGGCGAGTAGTGCAAGCAAAATCATGATAACGTGCTGTGGGTGCCCATATCAAGGTAGCCCATTATCAGAAAGACTGGATACATAGAAACAGCAAAATGTTAATAGACCAGTCCTGGTAATTTTGCGTTGCACCAAGATTAACACAAAATAACATTAATTCTGTAAAATTGCTCTAACTGTACTATGTTGTGGCATATTCACTCTAGCCTATAATGATATGTGCTAAACAGATTAGTTTCCCGACTATAAAACATGACACAATCCCTCAAATGTGTTAGCATACTCAGTGGAATGTCAAAATACCTGTTAGCTGTCGTTCCTGTTTAAATAACAGATACCGTTTACACGACTTTGCGTGTTATCTCAATTGACTATATTGAAGTAATATAGTGCAAAACAAGTTGAACTGTTTTTTTTTTGTTTTTTTTCTGGGCATTTGAGGCACAGTGTGGATGTTGGCTGCTTTAATACGTATATACGTGTATTCGAAAACCCATTGGGATTCATCGAAGGTGTGGCCCCATCTACCTCTGGGATGGCGATACTAAAATGTTATTCATATACGTGCTCTAGAAAAATTAAAAGAAAAATATTTTAGGAATACAAAACAAATCAAATAAGAAGTTACTTTTAAATCATAATTGAATTAATATTCATGTTTAGCTTATTTTCATAGCAATAATACCGTCTTCATTATATGTATTAGGTAATACAATCACAAACATTGTGTGTGACATAGAAATTGATATTTGCCCAGAAGTCCAAGCGCCTCATTCAGTTAAAAAAAAACGTTTTCTGTGGTTCACATTCAATCCAAAGTCATGGTTGATCCAACTTCACTTCATATTCCTTCTTAGAGGGTCAATCTGAATAATAAAATAATTACGTTAAAGCCGCCATTACCTGAACTACTGCTTTATCAGACGTACATTTCCTTCACAGATGTTTGCGGGATCATTGCGACGAATGGATAAAATTAAATTGTGGGCGTCAGATAATTGGAATCGTTTCGACGCTGTCATGTACTTGTGGTTCATAATAGTCATCATACTTAGATATTCGCTTCCTGTTGACCAGTTTGCTACTGCCAGAATGTGTTATTGTATTTCCTTGCTAACATTTTATATTCGCTCTCTACAATGCTTTATAATCAATAAACAAATTGGACCAAAGATTATTATGATCTTCAAAATGGTAAGTATATATTCTATTCACAAACAAACATACTAAGTAAGTTGATAGGTGGCTTGTCGCGTAATGAACTGGGATTTCAAAAAGTATGGTATATTTTCATAATACTATTTTTTGGATTTTCTAAAAAAGACTGTTTAGTCGCTATCATAAAAAGCAGTTTATATCTCACTGTCAAATTATCTCGCTAATAAATGTGTACGTATTAATATACATCCTTCGTAGTGTCAGGTTTGTATTGGCCATTATTTTGAAACTACCTGTTCATTGTACTGGTTTGATGTTCTGCTATGAATATACTTCATGCAGTTCTGTGACGGTTCACCAGTTTATAGTAATCCGGAAGACAATAGGTTTTATGATGTTTGGGAGTTGAATACCAAGCAGTATATGTTCAAATGAATGTCATTCCTAATAGGTATAACAAATAGTGTTTGTCGAATGTATAGTATAGACATATACTTATGTCGAACACACAAATGCAAATTAAAGCATAATCATTTATTTTCGTTATTCAAATCTTAACATTTGTAAAATATGTACAGTTATACGTTAGTATAAATTGCTGAAAACAAACGCTATTCAATCTTTTGAAAAATCAAAAAAATAAATAAATGTATTCCTTTATTAAGTTTCCATATATTTTACTATCAAATTCATAATGGTTTATTTTTCGTTTCTAGTAAAAGTACTTCAGGTGTTGTTGCTTGGGGCCCATGACCTTAAAGCGTCTTATACAATATATATTGCAATGATGGCGTATAATATCTCTTTGTGATTTCCCACATTATATTTATTTATTTTCATTTGTTTGTTGAAGATGAAAGACCTATTTTACTTTGTGATGATAATCGCTGTGTTTGCCATGAGCTTTGGTGTGGCAATTGAAGCTATTTTGTACCCTAACATGGAACCTGACATACGTATTATTTTTAAATCACTATACAAACCATACTGGCAGCTTTATGGCGAGTTGTTTCTTGAAGAGATAGAAGGTGATTGATTATTTATTTATTTATTTATTTATTTATTTATTTATTTATTTATTTATTTATTTATTTATTTATTTATTTATTTATTTATTTATTTA